CGGCGCTGTTATAATGTACAGATGAAATGGGTGCCGCCTTATTGGCCGCCACGATGTGCTTCCATGCATTTGCAGTCGTTGTTCAGGCCAGCGTACACATCGAACGGTGAGCGCATTATTTCGGAAGATGCCTCTCTCTTCGAGTTTTGCCATATTTTAGCCGAAAATCCTCCCCCAGATCTGTAAGGTTGGCGCTGAATTTTCCGGTGATTTATCGGTGTTGAATTTTTCAGGATCGGATCGGCATCTGTTTCAAAGAACTGTGATAACAAGCCGTGCTATCAGGGTAAGTGTGAGAATGAGAAGTGCCGTTGTTTCGCTGGCTGGGGCGGCCCGCAGTGTGATCGATGCCATGGACGAAATTTGTAATTTATTCTTCTTTTTTCCCCAGTAACAATAATCCCTTATGTTATGAGGATGTACAGCAGTATTAGGTGGTTTACTGCAGAATGACAGTCCGTAGGCGTATCTCGTCAAACCTCAAAATCCTCCTCATTGTGAACATTTATCGCGCCTCGTTTGACCCTCATTTATTTGAGGGCTTGCCATACACACCCATGGTCCCCTCTGTCTCCCTGAGCATCAGTTTTATTCAAAATTTTCACTTTTTATTACACACTGCAACGCTGTTTGTTTATATGAGAGCTTGGCTGTTACTTGAACGAAGGTCGTAGGGATTCACGTATGTTTCTGCCCACTAAGTTCAATTATTTTTGAGAATTAATGCATCCAGATTCGTGCCTTGAGCGCCGTGTCGAATTGCCTCTGCATGCCACTCGTTGCAACCAAAATTAACTGTCGTTGTTGATGATACTTGCAGAACGCTTGCAGAATGTATAAGTACTTTATTATGCGGTTTTTGCATCTATGTAAAGCAGGAAACGCATATTGACGGAGGGGTGTCTGTGTGTGCGTCTGTCACGGTTTTTCATCTCAAGACCTACAAAAGCTGCAAGGCTGAAATAATAGACCAACAGGATTGAAACTTTGGGAATTTAATCTACATGCGCGTATGAGCCCGATCCCCAAAATGGGCGCTCTTACCCGCGTGATACCCACGTACGGGCCCGCCGAAATTTTTTTCAGGCAAGTTGCTAACTCGGGAGCCTGAGAAGCTAGAAGAGATATTTCCTGGCAGTCCTGGTGGCCAGTCTGAAATTCTTTTAGCTAGAAGGGTCTGCCGGAAAAAACCAGTGCAGCTAGCGAGAAAAATCTGTGAGGAGCTATGCAAAAAACGCATCTTTGCATGGGCAGCCCGTGCGTTAGCCAGTTATTTGACTTATTATGTGCTGTGTTCAAAAAAAAAAAAAAATTCGCATTGAATATCGATGTGCGCTTCAAACCAGTGCTACTGCTGCTGCTGCTTGCAGGTTGACCGATGAAAATGAGATACTGACCGATGGTCCACGGAACTACACATCTTCCTCACGATGCATGTGGATAATCACGGATGAGAAAAATCGCGGCGCGCTTCTGTTGAAAATTGAGTCGCTGATAACGGAATGTTGTTGGGATCACTTGTATATCTACGATGGAACAGGCACAAGCGGACCGCAGTTAGCTGCATTCAGGTTCCTCTTCCACAGCTAAAGCTTTCCAGGAAGCACAGATTTGATTATCGCCAGCAGTACTCCCACACGGATGTCGCTACTACGAGTCCTCTCACATCACTCGGCTCCTACTGCGACTGCGAGTCTAGTCAAATTCGATTATTACCTCCTGATTCTCATGAAAGTTGGCCTATCGCTTAGAATACTCCATACCCAATCTCTCTCCAGACCAGGGCCTGTCGCTTCGGCCGCACTTCTGCGAATTCAGATCAGCCGGTTTACATTTTCGGAAAGAATTAAATGCAGTGCTAAACTGAGGTACTGATGCGCATCGAATGAGGGGCCGGGGAATATTGTATGGTGCAATTACTTAGCAACAGGGCGCATAAGTATGCTATTTAAGTTTAAAGGAAAATATAAGAATAATGATGGAAAAGTAAAAGAAAGAATGATGGAAAAGGAAATAAAGGAAGGATGGGAAAAAGGAGTATTAAATTAGGTAAGAAATTTTTCGGTCCATTAAGTCGTATACATTTCTTACCGCTACCACAGCTAGACCTCGTCATGCTACTCGTTTTTGGTTAAAAAGAAAAACAGAGCAGTGGATCGTTGCATAATTCACAGTGTTTCTGAAAGAGAAGTTACACAGCGAAACTACCAGTGGTGGCACAAACAAACTTTATCGCCGAATGAGCATGGACAACTTCCTTGGGCTGATTGTAACAGTTCTTGGACATTAACCGTCACAGAAATGCTGAAGCTCTACGGATATAGCTTTCTGCCGTGTATTTTGTTTTTGAAAAATCTTGTGGCTTCTCTCAAATCGCATAAAAATCGGCGGTTTTTCGAAAAGCACTTGCAGCTACACATAAATTTAGCTCAGTTTTGCTTCCTTTGTTCTGGTATCAGTTGCTGAGC